TACTTCAGTTCTATTTGCTCCATATTTTACACCTCCTTTGATGGTTTCTGGTAACTTTCTCCACCATTCAGAGACAGTTCCTCTAAATGTGTGTTCTATAAATCCAAAAGCCGTATATGTTTCCCATTTATTAAATTGTATAGCTAAATCTGTACTTTTTATCCATGTTTCAATAGCTTTATTTTTATCTACACAATCTAAATCTAACCATATTCCTGTTGTGTGGATTGGTTCATTATAAGATTTCATTGGATTTATTTCTTTTATAGATTGTTTTCTTACATTACCAGTGTATCTTTTCTGGGTTTTTCTATATTGATTAACATCAGCCTTATCAGGTATAGGGGTACCATAAGGGAAATCTTGTTCTTCATCACTACTAAATTCTATTTTTATATCATGACTTGAAAATGGATTAGTATTCATTTTTATATTCTCCATTTTTTCAGTTAATTCTTCTAACTGCTTTTTATATTCTTCATACTCTTCACCTGTAGATTCTAAGAATTTTTGTTCTATTTCTTCTACATCTGTTATCATATATTGTTTTTCTTCATGCTTTTTTCCTTTATTTTTTGTTATTCTAAAATCTTGGGGTGGATTAATTATAATCCTATCTTTTCCTCTAAGATTATTATCTAATAATGCATTTCCTACTTGTAGATTATATTCTAGATTTTCTAGTCTTTTATGTATATCCTCAAAACTTTCATTCGTAGTGTTTTTAGGTAAATAGGGATAACTAGGTTTTTTATGTTTTTTAACCTTTTCCAAGAATTCTTCAATTATATTTTCTTCATCTACTATATTCATCATAATTTTTGGTTTGTAACTTGGCTCTGATACCATTTGGTCGGAGTGTGCAGCGGAGGGGTTAATATTTTTGAGCCAATTAGATTCTTCATAAGTATTTAAAATGTCACAATAGAATTTATAAAATTCACTATTTTTTATTAATACTTTTTCTTGAATAATTATGTTTAATTTTTCAATTCTCCTTCTTAAATTAAGAGTTAATTTATATATGTCTTTTTCCATTTTGATTGCTTCGTTATCTATGGAATCATTTTTATTTTTTATTTTTGGGTCTAAATATTCTATAAAGAAGTCTTTCAGATCTTTTTCTAGATAGATTAATTCGTTTTCTGTATAGATTTTTAGATCAATAAAATTTTGTATAATATTTGGATCTAGATTTATTAAAAATTTATGATCTATATTTTCTTGAGGACTTATTTGAAGATTTTTAGACATTGTAATGGCTTTGGTTGCAATTTCTCTATTAAGGGTATTTTTGGAAAATTAGTTGTTTGGAGACTAGTTTTCAAATGTTTTTATTTTTTAGGCTAATTTGGAAAATCAACCTTCTATTTAAGCTATAAAGCTATATTTCCCATATAAGGGAAAATGTATATAAACTGTTTCTTGGGTTCTCTTGATGGTTTTTTAGTGTTTTACTTTGTCCTTTTACTGTGGTTATTATTCTGTGTTGAGGGATGACAGAGGTGTTCTAGAAATAGTGTCATCTGTACCTATGAAGTGGGGATTTTCTGTACTCAGAAAACATTTGAAAACTAAGAAGATGGGCTTGTGATGACATTATCATGTCTCCAATTTCAATATTTGAAGTTTTCTATTTCTTTTTCCTTTTCATTTGGCTAGATTAATTTTGAACTAATGAAAGGATAATTCTTGAAAAACTACTTGGAAAACACAAATTAAATAACTCTCATGGTTACTAAAAAAAGCACATTAGTATTATAACTGCTGTAAATTAAATGAGTCCGCAATTGACAATTTTCATGACAACGTTTTGGGAGTATTAGATATTAATCTTGAAATTTGATATCACCGTGTGTTCGTTGTTTTGATATGTGCGCCTTTTTGAGTATTTCAATATTCAAGGTGTTGACAGAAGGGGGCCTCTTTTTGTTTTAATAATTTTTCAAGTGAAATGTGCTGTAAATGCTGAAAATCATGGCCATTGAATTGTTTTATCTTGTACAAGCAATCAAATGGTATAATTCTATATATATCGATTTCTTGGGTAACTTTCAGTTCTCCTGCATTGGCTAACTTTCAGTACTTCCGTAGTTTATTTTGCGTCAACTCATTTCATGGAAAATCAGTTTATTATATTGTTTGTGCTGATAAAAATATCTACAATCTTATTCCAGATTGTTTTTGGGCTTCGGAATTTTTAAAGATAGAAAGAAGATCTATGTTCTCCCAGTCAATTGGAAAAGGGAATTCATAAATTTCCTCCAAAATTAATTACTGACCTCCATGCCTGTGAAGCAGTTCATTGCTTCATGTTCATCAATTGTGTTTTGGTGCTTTGAATTCGAGTCCCAATAAATATAAAGTTCCTGGAGACTGCACCATATAGGATTTCTAGATTTCCTCTTTTTATAGAACTGCACAGTTTTTCATTTTTCTTGAGTTACTCGGTTGCGATATCATATCTTTTCTTTTTAAGAAGTTGGGATAAAAAGAGACTACATTTGCTTTCCACAAATTACGTGTAAGATTGTCATTTCATTGTTGTTTCCTTACATTTTACTTTCTTGTTTCTTGGGGTTCACTAAGTAGGCATCTTTTGTCTCTCCTCCTCTCCCTCTCATTCTCTCTTCCTCCATTCCTCTTCCCTCAAGGATGCTTCAATGCTGTTTTCCTAACTAAAGTTGGAAATTATAATTTCTATTGATAGGTTATACGTTGTATAAAAGCAGATCGTGTTGCACTTGCATTGATAATAATATTTCCTGACCAAACTGCAGTTACCATTCAGCCATATGGGAAAGACAATTCAGGTATCAGGCTTTCCTTATCCTATTGCTGCCGAAACTGTTAAGAAATTCTTGGAGCATTATACAGGCCCAGGAACTGTAGTTGCCTTAGATGTAAAGCAGTTCAAAAGAGGGCAAAGAGCATATGCCAGAGTTCAATTCAAGAATAGCACATATGCTGATAGAATTATCTGTTTGGCAAAAACACGCCTAAATTACGGTACTTCTTATTTGAAGGCTTGGGAGATGGATATTGACATCATGCAAAATCCTAGAACGTACTTGCATGAAATGGAATGCATAACTTTGAATTTTGGATGTCAAATATCAAGAGAGAAGTTTTCCGTGCTATGGAAAAACACAAGTGTTTCTGTTAAATTTGGAATTGCTCTGAAGAAAATATACTTCTTTTTCTGTTATAATAATGTTGAATACAAGCTTCAGCTCTCATATGAGAACATATGGCAGATTGTTCTATATTGCCCACGAGGTCAAACTGCAAAGCTTCTCCTCATACAGGTTTGTTCATTTACTTCTAATAAATAATATTGTCATATCACTATTTCCTTATGAATTAGCCATGTATTTGACATCTATTGGTATTCCTTGAGCATTTTTGGTTGGCTTTAAGCTGGACTAACATGCTTATTAGCAAACTGCCAAACATGTTTGGACTTTAAGAAAGCTCCATTTTTCCCCCTTTGCAAATGACGCAATACATGTTGATGGAAAATAAGCACGAGGGGTGGTACTTTTTTGATTGGGCTAGTGCTCATTTTTGCTTTGACCAAGGAAAAGACCGTTATACTTTAACAGTACTTAGATTCCCAAACATAAAGAGTGTTGGATTTGTGATCCATATTCATCTAGGGCTTGCGTGGTTTTGGTGTATTGGGCCTTGAAGACGTCTAAATAGGGTTCATAGAGGAAAAAGAGATTGACGGCACTAACCTACCGCTAGTTGGACGCTTGAGGGACAAGATGGAATTTTTAGCAAAGGACCTGCTGCTTTCCCGCTGATCGGCTGGCGCTCACCGTGCTCCCGAGCACCGCTGTCGTCTAAGTTATCCTTGTTTTGTTTATTCTACACATTTTTTGACCTAGTTTCATCTTTAGGACTATTATTAGGGTTTGATATGTACCCCTACATATATTTGGCTTCTATTCATAGTTAGAACATGGTTTTACCTCGTTATTTCTATAAGTTAGAATTGTGTCAATATTGTTGTAATTTCTCTCCATTATTATTGAATAAAATTTTCAAATCTTTTGCCAAATTAAATTCTTGTTTGTTGTGTTCTTCTTGTTATGATCAATATTTCATATGGTCCACCAACAAGCGGTATTAGAGAATACATAATCCTTGTTCGGTTTCTAACAAATAGCATTTGGGTAATTCGTCATGATGGTTTAGGTTAAAAATAAATAGATCCCACACATAAATTTGCTTAGAATAATTAAGCACCACTTACCCGAAATTGAAATCAATTCCACTCTTTCTTCTTCTTCTTTCTTTCTTTCCTTTTTTTTTTTTTTTTTAAACTTAATAAACGTATCTTTTTTCTAGGACCGTCCAAACATACTCATCTATCAATTAGATTTACTTTAGGACTTATTGACATGATCTGGTGGTTTGGTTTCTTCATATGTGATACTATTCAGGAGTAACTAATCTGATGAGTGGTTAAAGTAATAATGTGGCTTTTTGTAAAGTCTAATTTATCACTTAATTCATGATCGGTTTGAGCCTAAACTTATAGGGTACAGTCAAATTAACTAGCTCCTGACGATGAGGCTGTCTTTATTTCTTTTCCGTTCGAAATGAGGCTGTCTTTATTTCTTTATTTCTTTTCCGTTCGAAATGTTTGCTTTTACAAATGTAGGTTGACTTTTTTGTAGTTTTAAGCACAACTAAAAGGCACTAGCTATTTCAGCACGCAGTGAGTTTGTGCAAATAAAAGAATTGTTATTGATTAGGATGTTTACGTAAATTGTTAATAAAGGTAAGTTAGCATAATATTCAAGTTTGATGAATAAAGAATCATTCTTAGTTACGTATAAATATCTAACCTAGACGCTATCATCTCTTTGTTTCCTGATACATACAACCTCATGTGTCAATACTCCTTACGAATCATGAATTTAATACCATTCGGTACTGGGAGTTTAGTTTATTCTGCATGGAGAAAGATCCGGCATCACTAACTGAAGGTAAACCTGGCCCGACACCTGAATTTTACCATGAGCAAGGCAGAGAAAATAGTCCCCTTTTTGGTGGTCTCAGCATTCCATTATTGTTAGATTCTCCGAATCTGAAAGTAGATATTTTTGCTTCTGTTTGTTTCTAATATAATTTGGGGGTTACCATACTACCAGTTGACAAAAACAGTTTGGCTGTATTGTGGTATCATACATCTTCTCGTACTAATTGCACCAGAATGTTTTCATTATGCATTTCACAAGGCTGCTGCAATTATGTGTTCTCATTTTCTATCTGAAAGATAGAAATGAATGCTGATGAATGTTTCTCTTTTTTATCGTGTAGTTATTTGGTGCTCCCCGGATCTACAAGAAGATTGATGAATCTAAATATAGTTATTTTAAGGAAACTCCAGATGATCAGTGGATTAGAACAACAGATTTTACTCCATCATGTATTGGACAATCTTCTGGCTTGTGTTTGCAGCTCTCGTATGGCATGAAGCTTCCAACTTTCCGAGATAATTTTGCTTACTTCAAGGAAAGTGAAAGCCAATTCAGTTTGGAGACTGGTTCTCCCTTTTGTCACAATTCATCCCTAGTTCCCATTCTGAAGCCTCCTGAAGGAATTGAACTACCATGTAATATATTGTTTAAGATTTGCAATTTGGTACAGAATGGATGTCTTCCGGGGCCCAACCTTGATGATAATTTTTTTAGGTTGGTTGATCCACAGAGAATAGACATTGGGTATTGATGTAGTATCAATAACAGAGAAAGAAGAAGGGGGAAGAGAGGAGCCGGAGAAGAGAGGAAAATACGGCTGCAAGCCAAGTCTTTTATTTAATCAAAATTCATCAACTGAGAAATTACAAACCAATGATAGGTTTAAATAATGAAAACCTAGAAATATAGGGCCAAGCCCATTATTTAAGTCCTAATTAAAATACGTAAACTTAAATAAAAGTCCAACTGAAACAATAATAAAAGTCCAACTAAAATACTGAAACAATAATAAAAGTCCAACTATAAAGGATGTCCTCATCAACTCTCCCGGGGTGGGAGAAAACTCGACCCTGTCGAGTGGATATGTCACCGTAGACTCTCGTCAATCTCCCAACCATAAGCTGAGTGGCTGGGCAAGTGTCTTCCGGCGTCTGTAGAAATACGTCAGTGGCGGTCTGAACCTGGTGTCCTCATCAACTCCCCTCGGGTGGACGGGAGGCGATCTGGGCCAAGGAAGATCCTGCTGACTCCGATAAAGCTCTAGCAAATCTGGATCCAAATGCTGTAGTGTCTCCCTGGAGATCCATGCACAATCAGAATCTGGTCGACCAACCCAACGAACAAGGAAGCGCTGAACCTCTCCATCACTAGTGAACACAGTTTCTTCATCTAAAATAGCATCAATTTTATCTGTGTGTGCTGTGAGAGGTGGTAGCGGGTTAGAGGGGGCCAAAGAATTAGGATCAAGGTCCACAAAAGGAGGTAACAGGGGATCATCTGAGAGAACGAAATGACCTTTATAAGCTACAATGTCTTCAACATTGAAAGTATGGTGGTAACCAATGTGGGATGGAATGTCAACAATATATGCATTTGGACCAACTTGCTTTAAAATTTTAAAAGGACCAGCACTACGAGCTTGCAATTTGGAGGCGGGTCCATGTAGACGCCGCTCTGGCCTAATGCGAACCATAACGTAATTCCCAACATTAAACTCAATTTGTCGTTTATGTAAATCAGCTTGTAGTTTATAATTTGCATTACTAGCTTCAAGTTGTTTATTGATCTCAATGTGCAAATCACGAAGGTGTTGTGCAAATGCTTCGGCTGATACTGATACTCTAGCCTGTGGGGACATAGGGATGAGATCTAATGGTTTCCTAGGCTTGTATCCGTGAACGGCTTCAAATGGACTCATACCTAATGAAAGATTTATGGAACTATTATACGCGATTTGAGCGACAGGAAGGATTAAATCCCAATTTCGAAGGTTCTCCCGGACCAGACAACGTAATAAGTCACCAAGACTCCGATTAACAACTTCGGTCTGACCGTCAGTTTGAGGGTGGTAGGCTGTAGAAAATTTTAATTTGGTACCCATCTTATGCCACAAAGTCCTCCAAAAATGGCTAGTGAAGCGAACGTCCCTATCGGACACGATGGTCTTGGGAAGCCCATACAGTTTGACAATCTCATTAAAGAATAACATGGCAACCTTGGACGCATCCGATGTTTTGCTACAGGGGATAAAGTGAGCCATTTTCGAGAAACGATCGACAACCACGAAAATAGAATCATGCTTCTTTGGGGTGCGTGGCAGTCCTAGCACAAAATCCATACTAACGTCTTGCCAAGGACAATTGGGGACGGGGAGAGGAGTGTATAGGCCTGTGTTCTGCTTCTTCTGTTTGGCCAATTGACAAGTATTACATGTACTAACAATTTTAGCCACATCTCTCTTTAAACTAGGCCAATAGAATTGGCGTTCAACCTCCTCAATGGTCTTATCACGCCCAAAGTGACCGGCTAACCCTCCCGCGTGCACTTCCCACACTATAAAATCTCGTACTGAAGTTCGAGGGATGCACAATTTATTGGCTCGAAAGAGATAACCCTCCCAAGTCGGAAGTCATCTGTGGTGTGTGATTGCCCCTTTTGCAAATTGAGAAAGATATCCTCAAAATCGGGACATGCCTCGTAGTCCTTCTTAAGCCTTTCAAAATCGATGACCTTGACACTCATGATCGACAAAAGGGAAACACGACGACTTAACGCGTCAGCTGCTTGGTTCTCCACGCCCTTCTTGTGTTTTAAAACAAATGAATAGGCCTGCAAATATTCAACCCAACGTCCATGCCTAGAACTTAATCTCTTCTGAGAGTTGAGGTAACGGAGGGCTTCGTGGTCCGAATAAAGGAC